GCACTTAAGGAGCGGGTTGTGGAAGAAAACTCTATACATAATTTTAAAACTAGATGATAGGAAAATTGGGACAGGAGTCATTGCTCTAAACAACCGATGGCTAGAAAGGCGGGATCCAAGAGTCAATGCTCGATCCTGCAGGCACAAATAGGTGAGTACACATATATGGGACAAATCAGTTGATTGACACTTGAGAGGCGGGCTGAAAGAGCCAGCGCTCAACCCCCGCAAGCACAACTAGGTGAATACTAGGTAAATACATCCTCAGCTCCCAATCCAGGGACACGGGTTCAATTCCTGGGCTGGACAGAAACGATTAGGAAAGCATTCAATTTCACCTGGTGCATCTATTCATCCTGATTTTTTTGTTATATGCATTTCCCATTAAGTTTCTGCTTTCTTATATTTTTGAATTGTTCTTGATTAACAATTTTCAGTTTTGTATAAAATATCACATTTTGTATTTGATGAGAATTATATTTTTATGGTAAGAATCTTTAATGCATTGTTTAATTTTTTTATTTGAGTTATTTTACTCGTGTATACCATAGTAGAGTGACGTGTCGTCCTCTGTTGGTGTAGTGTGTCACCTTGGGTCACAATGTGTCACCTTGGGTCACAGTGTGTCACCTTGGGGTCACAATGTGTCACCTTGGGTCACAGTGTGTCACCTTGGGTCACAATGTGTCACCTTGGGGTCACAATGTGTCACCTTGGGTCACAGTGCGTCACCTTGGGTCACAGTGTGTCACCTTGGGTCACAATGTGTCACCTTGGGTCACAGTGCGTCACCTTGGGTCACAGTGTGTCACCTTGGGTCACAATGTGTCACCTTGGGTCACAATGTGTCACCTTGGGTCACAGTGTGTCACCTTGGGTCACAATGTGTCACCTTGGGTCACAATGTGTCACCTTGGGTCACAATGTGTCACCTTGGGTCACAATGTGTCACCTTGGGTCACAGTGCGTCACCTTGGGTCACAGTGTGTCACCTTGGGTCACAATGTGTCACCTTGGGGTCACAATGTGTCACCTTGGGTCACAGTGTGTCACCTTGGGTCACAATGTGTCACCTTGGGGTCACAATGTGTCACCTTGGGTCACAGTGTGTCACCTTGGGTCACAATGTGTCACCTTGGGGTCACAATGTGTCACCTTGGGTCACAGTGCGTCACCTTGGGTCACAGTGTGTCACCTTGGGTCACAATGTGTCACCTTGGGTCACAATGTGTCACCTTGGGTCACAGTGTGTCACCTTGGGTCACAGTGTGTCACCTTGGGTCACAGTGTGTCACCTTGGGTCACAATGTGTCACCTTGGGTCTCAATGTGTCACCTTGGGTCACAGTGTGTCACCTTGGGTCACAGTGTGTCACCTTGGGTCACAGTGTGTCACCTTGGGTCACAGTGTGTCACCTTGGGTCACAATGTGTCACCTTGGGTCTCAATGTGTCACCTTGGGTCACAGTGTGTCACCTTGGGTCACAATGTGTCACCTTGGGTCACAATGTGTCACCTTGGGTCACAATGTGTCACCTTGGGTCACAGTGTGTCACCTTGGGTCTCAATGTGTCACCTTGGGTCACAATATGTCACCTTGGGTCACAATGTGTCACCTTGGGTCACAATGTGTCACCTTGGGTCACAATGTGTCACCTTGGGTCACAATGTGTCACCTTGGGTCACAATGTGTCACCTTGGGTCACTATGTCTCATCTTGGGTCACAATGTGTCACCTTGGGTCACAATGTGTCACCTTGGGTCACAATGTGTCACCTTGGGTCACAATGTGTCACATTGGGTAACAATGTGTCACCTTGGGTCACAATGTGTCACCTTGGGTCACAATGTGTCACCTTGGGTCACAATATGTCACCTTGGGTCACAATGTGTCACCTTGGGTCACAGTGTGTCACCTTGGGTCACAGTGTGTCACCTTGGGTCACAATATGTCACCTTGGGTCACAATGTGTCACCTTGGGTCACTATGTCTCATCTTGGGTCACAATGTGTCACCTTGGGTCACAATGTGTCACCTTGGGTCACAATGTGTCACCTTGGGTCACAGTGTGTCACCTTGGGTCTCAATGTGTCACCTTGGGTCACAATATGTCACCTTGGGTCACACTGTGTCACCTTGGGTCACTATGTCTCATCTTGGATCACAATGTGTCACCTTGGGTCACAATGTGTCACCTTGGGTCACAATGTGTCACCTTGGGTCACAGTGTGTCACCTTGGGTCTCAATGTGTCACCTTGGGTCACAATGTGTCACCTTGGGTTACAATGTCTTACAATGAGGCACAATGTCTCACCTTGGGGCACAATGTCTTACAATGAGGCACAATGTCTCACCTTGGGGCACAATGTCTTACAATGAGGCACAATGTCTCCCCTTGGGGCACAATGTCTGAGCTTGCGGCACAAATATCTCACATAGGGGGGCACAATGTCTCAATTGGGGCACAAATATCTCAGTGGCTCACCTTCGGGAACGCTGAAGGAGGACGATGAATGGTCGTCCTGCTGAGAGTAGTCGTACTCCTGAGGTCTGGCGTCAACTAACAAGGTTCCCACCGCCAGCAGCAGCAGCAGGAGCAGGAGAGGACACCTAGCCAGGAGGGTCGTGACTGTGGCTGCCATGGTCAACTGGTCAACTGGTCAAACTAGGTCACATACCCTGTTTATATGGCAGCTGCAAACATCTCTCTCTGGATCTTCCTCTCCTCTTATCCTGTCTATCTTATTTTCTTCCACTACTCATTCCCACCCCCCTGTTCCTCCACCTCCTTGCCCTTCCTCTTCACCCTACTCCGTGACGTGGGTTGACCTGAGCTGACCTGAGCTGAACTGGGCTGATTGCTAGATATTGGAAGATCACAAAACATATTAGTATGACTTGTTCCCATTTACACAAAGTTCCCGATAACTTAACTCCAGGAGTCTGGGGTAAAAGTGGATTATAATATCAAAAATATAATTAAGCTGTCCCCATGTTATTAAAACTGCGATGCCATATATATATAAATAAATATATATATATATATATATATATATATATATATATATATATATATATATATATATATATATATATATATATATATATATATATATATATATATATATATATATATATATATATATATATATATATATATATATATATATATATATATTGTCACGTCAAATTATATATGAAATTCTCAACAAAGATGGAATTTATGAAAGGAAAGGCGAGAGATGGTGCAGTGTTGCCAATCAGCAACTGAACGCCAAGAGGAACGTTCGGTTGGTGATTGGCAACATTGCACCACCTCTCGCCTTCCTCTTGAGAAGATGCTCCTGGCAGCACTCTCTATATCAACATGGTGCATCCTTACCCTCTTCATGTGGGCTTCCTCTTACTCCCTAGACCGAGACGGCAAGGCTCATGTTAGGAGCTCTGTGGCAAGAGCTCAGTGTTAATAGCTCAGTGTCATAAGGTCAGTGTTAAGAGGTTAGTGTCAAGAGGTCGAGGTCAAGAGATCAGTGTCAAGAGATCAGTGTCAAAAGGCCGAGGTCATGAGGTCAATGTCAAAAGCACATACTAAGAGCACAGGTGACTGTAGGAGCAGGTGACTTATATATTTTCATCTGATGGTTCAGTACGGCTATTTACTGAGACCCGTTCTCTTGGTTTGTCACAACATAGGAAATAAAGTGTGCTAGAACCTACGAACCCAACCCACCCACCTAACCTAACCATAGAAAACGTGGATATTTATTAGCTGTTACTCTTCACAGTAGCCTTTATTTTGTACTTTGGGGACCATAAGTGTAGAAAATGAGACGTATAAATGGAGAAGACGATTTATTTGTTTGATATGCCTCGTCATGCTGTCTATTTACACTACACTGGCACTCTCCTGTCGTGGCACTCTTCCTGTCGTGGCACTCTCCTGTCGTGGCACTCTTCCTGTCGTGGCACTCTTCCTGTCGTGGCACTCTTCCTGTCGTGGCACTCTTCCTGTCCGGGACACGTCTTGAGGCGTGAGGCTGCTCTCCTCAGGGGCCGGGACTCAACACCTTACCAACCTGTCTAAAGTTCGCAAGGTGATGCGACCCGAAACAAAGCCGCCAAAGATTGAGAAAAGATGTACCGATTCGTAAGTACTTGCGTAACTGTTGCTGAACCCGGCCCCTGGTCAGCGGTCGTTCCCTCTACCTTGAGGTTACCTTGAGGTGCTTCCGGGGCTTAGCGTCCCCGCGGCCCGGTCGTCGACCAGGCCTCCTGGTTGCTGGACTGATCAACCAAGCTGATGGACGCGGCTGCTCGCAGCCTGACGTATGAATCACAGCCTGGTTAATCAGGTATCCTTTGGAGGTGCTTATCCAGTTCTCTCTTGAACACTGTGAGGGGATTGCCAGTTATGCCCCTTATGTGTAGCGGAAGCGTGTTGAACAGTCCCGGGCCTCTGATGTTGATAGAGTTCTCTCTCAGAGTAACTGTTGCACCTCCGCTAAATCATAAGAAATTCCGACGTCCCTCTGGAAGGGACGACCCGTCCCTGGGGGAAGCACTCTGTACCGGGTGTTTAACCTTGTTCTTGCTGAACACTGAGTACGCCCACATTACGTTCTGAGCAGCAATCCTGACTGTATTATTTGACTCCGGTAGTAGAGTCGGCTTCGTTCTCGACTCATATTCGGAGACCCCGTGTTCGATTCTCGGGCGGGACATAAATGGTTAGGCACATTTCCTCTTCATTTAATGCCTGTGGTCACCTGCCAGTAAATAGGTACCCGGGAGATGGGCACCTATTGTGGGGTCACGTCCTGGGTAGGGTCAATAGTTCGACCTCGGGGGGGGGGGGGGGGGGGGGGGGGGTCATCGCTACTGAAGGATTAGGGGAAAAAATGCTGAAAACTTGGTAGTACGAAATCGTCATGTAAGCGGTGAAGAAAAGTCTGCCTCAGTCTTCAGCTCCAAGATGGTCTACTTATACAATGGAGGGACTCTAATAGCAAGGTGGTGGCCTCCTGGCACACAGAGTGTTGTAGTAGGACGGGTTGTTGTCATAGTTGCCATATTGACTGTATCCATAACTTCCAATGGGGTTGTCATAATTGTTATATTGGTTGTATCCATAACCTCCACTAGGGCGGTAATGATTGCCGTTTTGGTTGTATCCATAGCCTCCACTAGGGTTGTCATAATTGCCATTATCATAACTGTCATAGGGATTGTGGTCATGGTTTTCATCATAGCCTGTATTATAGTTGCCATAATTGCCGTTATTATAGCTTCCATAAGGTTTGTTGTTATAGCTGGTACCATAGTAGCCATAAGGGTTGTAATTGGTGTTGCCATAATAGTCCTTGTTATGATGACTGCTGCCATGATTGTTAAAGTGGTGAGGATTGTTGCTCTGCTTGCCATGCGAGTGGTCGTCAGCGTCCCTCAGGTCTGACAGGTGAGTGTCAAGTTCTGGAAGAAAGATATAATACGTCTTAATGGAAGAATTGGCAGCAGTAAAATAGGTACCTGGGTGTTAGTCAGCTGTCACGGGCTGTTTCCTGGGGGTGGAGGCCTGGTCGAGGACCGAGCCGCGGGGACACTAAAGCCCCGAAATCATCTCAAGATAACCTAACCTCAAGATAAGATAATATAAGCAGTAATATTAATGCTAACAAAATATATTATGAAGGTGAAAACTCCCATAAATGTGTAGTAAAACCATGTTCTCGGATGCAACTTACGGCCTTTCTCAAGGTGTTGTAAACAATATTCTGAGTCAGAACATTGTTTACACCAACTTAATAAAGGATGTAGGTTTCATCCGAAAATTTGGGTTTAATACACATTTATTGGGTTTTTCCTTCACCTTCTTTCAAGCGCTACGGCATTTTAGTAAGTTTCTCCATAAACATTATATTAAAAATACAGATAAAAATAGCAAAATCGCAACAATATATATATATTTAAAAAGTAGTATTGCTGTGACAAGTGATCTTGCTGGAGATGCCGTAGAGTCTTTCCCTTCCCACCGGGTTAGGAATACAAGTAATACTCGATGGTCTTTGCTACCAATTTTAAAATGACAAATTAACTTGTGTATATGGACACAACACCTCACCACACTCACATCACTCACTCCAAGGATGACAACGAGTCACCCTTGGAGTCGTCTCAGTCAACGTCCATGTTGTTATCATTGCCAAATCATCTTACTTTCAACAGTAGCCGGACCAGGCAGTGTGATGTAGTCATTGCGCGAATTCGCTTTGGCTATAGGCACATCTGGCAGGTTAGTGAGGCTGAGCCACTACCAGAATATTCAGCTTGTAAATTCTGTGATAAACCTTTAATGCATTCACTAAAACACTATATTTTTGAATGTGAAACATTCAACAATATTGTATCCTATTGTACCACCAACTGTGTAACTATTTCATTGAATCTAGTGTACTGGACGGCATCCTAAAAATTTTATTTATATTATTGTTAAGCTGCATCTCTTATGAACCCGTCCCTGTCCTTGTGTGGCAGTGCACAATAGAAAGTTGTATTTACATATATATATATATATATATATATATATATATATATATATATATATATATATATATATATATATATATAACTGAAAACTCACACCCCAGAAGTGACTCGAACCCATACTCCCAGAAGCATCGCAACTGGTATGTACAAGACGCCTTAATCCACTTGACCATCACGACCGGACAAAATGAGGTGATAGCCGAGGCTATATGAACCACCCCACCGCCGGCACTCGGATAGTTATCTTGGGCATAGCATTTTACCAAATCACCTCATTCTTTGGGGCACACGTGAGGAACACAAATGCGAACAAGCCTGAATGGTCCCCAGGACATATGCAACTGAAAACTCACACCCCAGAAGTGACTCGAACCCATACTCCCAGAAGCATCGCAACTGGTATGTACAAGACGCCTTAATCCACTTGACCATCACGACCGGACAAAATGAGGTGATAGCCGAGGCTATATGAACCACCCCACCGCCGGCACTCGGATAGTTATCTTGGGCATAGCATTTTACCAAATCACCTCATTCTTTGGGGCACACGTGAGGAACACAAATGCGAACAAGCCTGAATGGTCCCCAGGACATATGCAACTGAAAACTCACACCCCAGAAGTGACTCGAACCCATACTCCCAGAAGCATCGCAACTGGTATGTACAAGACGCCTTAATCCACTTGACCATCACGACCGGACAAAATGAGGTGATAGCCGAGGCTCTATGAACCACCCCACCGCCGGCACTCGGATAGTTATCTTGGGCATAGCATTTTACCAAATCACCTCATGCTTTGGGGCACACGTGAGGAACACAAATGCGAACAAGCCTGAATGGTCCCCAGGACATATGCAACTGAAAACTCACACCCCAGAAGTGACTCGAACCCATACTCCCAGAAGCATCGCAACTGGTATGTACAAGACGCCTTAATCCACTTGACCATCACGACCGGACAAAATGAGGTGATAGCCGAGGCTATATGAACCACCCCACCGCCGGCACTCGGATAGTTATCTTGGGCATAGCATTTTACCAAATCACCTCATTCTTTGGGGCACACGTGAGGAACACAAATGCGAACAAGCCTGAATGGTCCCCAGGACATATGCAACTGAAAACTTTTGAAAAATGAAACTTCAAAATGAAACCTCATTTTGTCCGGTCGTGATGGTCAAGTGGATTAAGGCGTCTTGTACATACCAGTTGCGATGCTTCTGGGAG